CTAAGGAAAAGGGATTCTAGACTGGTTCAGCTAGTCTTTCGAATAACAGAAAAACTACTTGTTGAATGGAAGAGAAAATTCTGCCACTCAGTTTTAGACATGAAACTTTGCATAGGAAACATGACATGCTTAGGAAAACACGATTCAAGAGGAACCCGGTTAAAATATTTTTCAGGGTTGTGTGTACCAATATGGTGGAATGATGAATGAGCGTATCTTTTCTCTTGAATAAGTGCTGGCTCAAGAATTCCAGATTCTTTGCATGACTCAAATGTGGTCAGAGGAATCACCACTCATTGCTGTGCTGCAGAGCTTGTAGGCAAGGGTTCAAGGCCAGAACGAGTCTACATTGCACTTGAAACCAGCCTATGAGGAATAAAGATGCATTTTCACATTGTTTTTCCACAGAGAAGAATCTAGTGTCAGTGCTCAAGGCAGCCAAGGATAGGCTGATTTCTTTAGTTTGTAACATGAGTCAAACTCCATGTTTGCATCAACATTTTGTAAGCCTTAATTAGGAAAAAAATTGTTGTTTATGTCCAGGCTGAACAACTTGTTTCACATGATGTTTAAGTGACTCCAAGAAGTAAAAACAAGTGGTTCAGTTGCTGTTGTCTTTTACCCATTCACATTGTAGATTAAATATGAGAACTCACCACAGAAAATATAGAGAGGAAAAATGAAGACCAGCCATAGTGGTATATGTCTATAATCCCAGCTGCTCTAGAGGCAAACATCAGTAGGATCAAGTCCATCCAGGCAAAAAGATAGTGAGATTCCCCCCAATCTCAACCAAAAAGCAGGGTATAGTGGTGCACACCTGTGATCCCAGGTATGTGGGAGGCATAGGTAGAAGGATCGAGGTCTAAAGTAGGCCCCAGGGGGAAAAAAACACAGGACCCCATTCAAAATATAACTGAAACAAAAAAGGGCTGGCAGTTAGGTTGCTCAAGTGGTACAGCACTTACTAAGTGTGAGGCCCAGAGGTCAAATCCCAGTATGGCTGAAAAAAGAAGTAAAATGGGCACAATTATTGCATAGAACTTCAATACAAAATTTGAACAAGTATTCCCTCTTCCCTGTTTTCTCAGTTCCACAGGCAGGGCCAGTTCACAGGTGTGGCAGAGCACAGCTACCATTTTAATGCCTCACCTTAGACCAGGGGGTGAATGTCTAGGAACCCCATCAAAGTGCAGTCTGGAAAGACCAAGGGGAGGGAAAATGGCCAAAGCAGAACTTCAGAAAGTCTATTCTGTGCTATTAGGAAGCTCCAGTTATGACACCATTCATTTGGGGCTTGTTTTGAGAGTATCTTATGATGATGGAGATTTATGATCTTGTTATATGTCCCTTGCAAATGTCAGGGGTATCCTGATTCTGGAAAGTATGTTTGTATATCTGTATTTGCTGCTAACTTACACTGTCTGATACTGTAGCCAAGAAATCCCATGAGGCTTTTGAGTACTTAGTGTCTGAGTTGAGATTTGCTGTAAGTGTAAAATGTACATCATATTTCAGACTTGGCACAAAATCATGAATGTAAAAGAATAGTAATTTTATATTGGTTCCATATTGAAATAATATTTTAGATATTTTAGGCTAAATAAAATATTAAAATTCACTGTTTATTTTTACCTTTTCAATATGTCTAATAAACTATTTTAAATTACCAATATAGCTCATAGTGTTTTTCTGTTGGACAGAGCTTATGTAGATCATAAATTCCTTTAGGTCAGGGATACTGTCAGGTATATATTAATTAGTTGCTCAGAGTATGTTTGGTAATCCAAGCTATTGAGCTGAAATAAAGGAGTCAAGATTATAATGATTTTTTTAAGTAGTAGTTTTGACACTGTGGATTTGGAAAGTATCAAAGCAAGCTAGGACAGATTATGTCAGGAAATTTTAAGATGTCTATTAATTGTCTTTGGTGTATGGAGTTTGAACATGTATAAAAAGAGATATGAGCACTGGCCATGGCCTTCTCATGGAGATGTTCAGATTTGCCCTGCAGAGTTTACCTTACTTGACCACCCATAATTCTATTGTTCTAATGCCATATAATCCAGCAGTTTGTTCAAAAGATCTATTGCTAAAGGATTGTCCCCCTGTGTCATTTAGCTGTAGTTCTTATACTTTAATGTATTTAAACATCACTTGCAAATTTTGTCATGAATATGGGTCTTATAAACTAGGATCTCAGAGATCCTAGTTCAGTAGAGAAGGGCAGGTGACTAGTCATCTGCATGTTAACACCCCAGGAGAATCCAGTACAATGCTTGTGAACAATACTTTGGGGGAATACATATGGCATCATAATCTGGGAATGGCCTGGAAGTCTACTTGGAAGGGGGAGTTTTCTCAGTGATTGTTGTTACTGATATAAAGAACTTAAATTGTTAGGTATTTTAGTAATCAAACAGTTGTAGCAAGGAAACCATGAACAGAGGCAAAATCACAGGCAACATATGGAATGGAAGAAAATATTTGCAAACCATCTCTTGGATAAGGGGTTAATATCTGAAATGTACTAAGAATCTTTCAACTCAATAGCAGAAAAACAAATAACCCAATTTTACCATGGAAAAATGACTTTGACTAGACATTTCTTCAAAGAAAATAAACCAATGGCTAACACACATATGAAAATGTGCTCAGCATCACTAATCATCAGGGAAATGCATATCAAAACCATAATAAGGTATATCACCTCACACTCACTGGAATGATCACTGTAAAAAATGAAAATAAGCATTAGCAAGAGTGTGGAGAAACTGGAGCCTTTGTGTGTTATTGGTGGAATTCTAAAATAGTGCAGTCACTATGGAAAACAGTATAGAGGCTCCTCAAAAAAATTAAAACCACAACTATCATATGATTTAGCAATCCCATTTCTGGTTATATATCAAAAGAAGGATGTTGAAAAGATATTTGATACCCATGTTCATTGCACCATTATTCATAATAGATAAATGAGGGAGCAATCTAAATGTCCATTGAGGAATGAATAAATAAAGAAAATATTATGTGCAATGAAATATCAGTCAGCTTTCAAAAAAGGGGAAATCCTATCATATGCTACAACATGGGTGAACTTTAAGTACATTCTGCAAAATGAAAGAAGCTAATGACACAAATGCAAATTCTACATGATTCCACTTACATGGAGTGTTTAAAGTAGTCAGATTCATAGAATCAGAGATTACAATGGTATTTTTGTCAAGGAAAGGAGGAATCACTCCTCAACGGGTACAAAGTCTCAGTCATGCTACATGAAAACATCCTAGAGGTCTATCATAAATCAGTGTGTATATAGTTACCAATACTGTCAGCGCACTTAAAAATTAAGATAAAAAAGTCATGTTTTTTACCAAGTTAATCAAAAAGCACAAACTATCCTAATAATTCATGGGGGCAGTTCTCTTAGGACAGAGAAAAATAATTTCATTTCTCTTAAACACTTGTTTTTGTTAGAAATTTTGAGCTAAAGTAAATGTGTACTTACAGTGAAGCTGTGCGGATGTGAAAAGACTGAGAGCTTGTGGCCCCTCCATGACTGAACGTACTGGAGGGCAAAGCCTACTTATCCTGAGTGTCACTTGAAGTTACACGTTGACTGTGGGATGCTGTCACTTCAGGGGCATCTGGAGACTGAAATTTCCCTTCATCCCCTATCTCATCTCCATCTGTCATCCCCATACTTGGAGCCTAGACTTTCGATATCTTAATTTAGTTCTCTTAAAACATTTTATAAAAAGCCTAGAAAAATCACTACTTTTAGGAATACTGATTCCTAGGCCCCTGTCTTAGACAGAGGGAGAATGATCAGACCATTCTGTGCAGCATTCTGTACCATTGAGCACTCACTTGGCAGCCAGGAGTCCTGTGCTAGCCAGAAGCCTTCCTCTAGGTAGTGATTCTCTATTCTTTCTAGTAACTGCTAGGCAAGTGGAGGTCAATGTTGGGGCTGGCTAGTTCTTCTGTAAGGAGAGCAAAAAGAGCAACAGCAAAGGCATGAAGTGACTTCTGTATTTTCTGATGCAATGAAAATATGGCACTGGGCTAATAAATATCACATATTTTCCTCCTTACACACCTTTCTTGGTGTCCAGTTCTAGCCCATCAAATTATTACTTGATTTTTAAATGGATTTTTAATTTTTTGCCCATTTTTGCTTTTACAGCATGCTGGTTTATTTCTCAATGATATTGAGTACGAAATATTTCAAATCTAATATCGATATGTACAGATGCAATATAATCACCATCTGCCTTAAGAAAGAGAATGTTACATGTACAGTTGAAACAAGACCTCTCCCAAGTCATATCTGCCCCCCTCCCCTGCAGTGGTCTGCTGCCTTGAAATTAGTGTTCATCACTCCTAAGTCTGTGTATCAAGACAGTACATATTCTCCTACTGATGTGTATAGTGTCTTTGTTTTATGTATCAGTTAAAAATAAATTTAATTTAAAAATTAAATGAAACTATGGTGATTTTAATATTTTTAAAATGTGCAATTGCTGTAGGTCAATAGTGTATACTCTGACCTCATCATAGTTCCACTCAATTTGTCTTTTGTTCCTTTAGAGACAAATTGTATGTCTCATAAAAAGATGGTCATTAAAGACTTTTAAAGATTTTTTAAAAAAATCATTTGAAGCATGATTTTAAAAAATTCTTTATATCATCATTATATATTTATATACATCAATATTACTTTGTATGTTTTAAATTTCATATAAATGACAATATGTTTGCTGTAGTCTTCTGAGCCCTGATTCTTTTTTATTATCCTGCCTGTTATCTTAAGCTTCATTTGTGACATTTCTTCCAGTGTTAATTAGCTAAACTATTATTAACACCAATGTACAACATTATTGCAGAAGAGCGTTTGGCCCTATAATACAACTAGAAATGGCTTAGTTTGAAATTTTTTATGTGCTAGATTAATGTGTAATTGTAATATTGTGTGTAACTGTTAAACATTTGTTTTATTTCAGGTTTAATATAACATATCTTACCATGCCTTTTCCTTGCCCCTTCTCCCGAAATCATCAACAGTAGAAAAAGAAGAAAAAAACATGTCAGGACACAAATGGTAAGTAATTTTTTGTCTTTTCTACATTCAGATTACTAACAAAGTGGAAATCTCATAGTTTATGCTCAAAAAGGGTCATTAAATGGAAAAATTAAGTGACATATTAGCAGTAAATAACCTGCTATCCCCTCTTGAATGTTAATTATAGCCAAATTCCATATCCCTACTAAATATGGAGTGAAATGTGTTATAAATGCTTATCTAATGTATATTCTCTCAAGAATTCACTTTATATAAATTTTCTCTTGGGAATCTAATAATTTTTTACTACCACTTTTTTTAAACTTAGTAACTTGGTTATTTTTATCACTATATTATTTATAACTCCTACCATTAATGGCATAAAGGAATTTAATGTAGGTTGGCTATGAAATAAAGAATGATATACAATCACATCATATTCAGACTACTAATTTATAGTCATGACTTCAGTCTTCATGGACATTCAGGAGCCAGTCATGGCTGTAAGTGTATGATGCTAAATAAAGTAGATATGGTGGTCATATATGTTAGCTCTGTCATTTATGTGCCTGTAACATATCTAAGTAGCATGTTAATTGTCTTAAAAGCTCCAGAGATCTTCAGGTAGTGTTTCTGAATCCTGTGAACCCATGATCTACCTAGCAAGTAGGTCTTTATCAAGTTTTGCCATTTTTTAATTTGTATTATGAAAAATGCAGTAAATCCATTTTCAGGTATACATTAATTATAATAAGGGACATACTTTTTAATCCCCCATTCTCATTTGAGATGAAACCAAGCTAAAGTCCTCTGTAACATCGAATATCAGACATCAAAAGAGTTTTGCATGTCTTAAAATTTAAGTTTTAAAAAGTAATAAAAGTCTAGCAGATTTAATTTCTCTGAGTCTCCATATTTGATACAGTCATCAAAGTCATCAGACATTTTTTTTTTATTCATGTTGCCTCACTATGACCATAGACTGATTCCATATATCACCCTTAGAGTAACCTCCCTGGCAGGAGGTTCAGGCAAATAGTCACCTAAGAAACACTGAAAGCCCCAAGAAGTTGGTCCTTCTTACACTGGCACTTACTCCCCTTCATAGCTTGCTGCTGAAATACAAGGGCTGCAGAGTATATTGCAATCCTGTGTGACTGTGAGCAAGATTTTTAACCTTTTGAAGCCTAAGTTTCAAATGGTAGGTGCTCGGTGTGCCATTTGCTAGATTTCTAAAATCATTTGTTTTTTTCAAATAATCCATTCAAAATGGATTTATTTTTCTGTTAATCTATGATCATTGACTGAAAAAAGAGATACAGAACAAAGAAGTCCATCATATACTGTAGTCTTTTATTTATTAGCATATATTAATTATATAGAGAAATTTCATTGTGTTATATCCATACATACATATAATTCTTGTCTTAAGAATCCCATTCCCCTGAAATAACCACAGTCTTTGGGGTACAGCCTTCCAGGTTTTTAATGTGTATACTATATAGAAAGATTATCATTTACATAAATGATACATATTTTTATCTTATTTTCTCTGATACAAATTTATAACAAAACTTTTAACTAATGCAGAAAGATATAAAATAGACCTTAAAAGTCTCCCATAATCCTAACTTTTCACAAAGGATGACTATTATTATGGAAATCATTTGCAATGCTTTCTGACATTTTGAGAATGAATGTGTGAGTTGAAAATTGTAAGTTTAATGAATGTATAAATGAAGAAAGTATGAGTCATCAAATTTTGAGATACTGGTATTTTGATCTAATACTATAAGGCACATCTAGAGTGATAATGGGCAAGGGTGGGAGAAGGTATGTAACTGCAGTGGGGTGTTGGTGGAGACCCCATATGGGCCTTTGGAGCTGGAAGTCTGGACTGAGGAGGGAGTAGACAGCAGGGAGAGGGGGATAGAGCACCAAATTCCATCAGTATTTGGGGTACTACAGTCATTTTTATGGAATTCCATTTCATTTTTAATTTTGTTTCTAGTTCCTTCTGTATATACTTTTTGATTTGCTCTTCATTATGATATTCCAAGAATGGCTTCCTAACTATATTTTAAGCATTTATGTTGAAGAATTTAAAGTTTTTAACCTCAGAAATCTATAAGAGATTTTATAGATTGGTAAGAACAATTAACATGAGATCTACCCTTTCAACAATTTTAAAGTGCATGATATAGTATTGGTAACTATAGATATGGTGTTGAACCGTAACTCTCTAGAACTTACTCATATTATATGAATTGAAACTTTATGCTTTGATTAGAAATTCCCTATTTCCCCCTTCCACCAGCCCCATCCACCATTCTACTCCCTGACTCTGAGTTTGACTATTTTAGATTTGTCCATAACAGATTTTAGGCAAGCTGTTTTTCAGCGCCTTATCTACTTTCCTGCCATCACTTCATGTTGGCGTCATGGTGGGTGGAGAGAGAGTGCTCATGTCCAGCCTTTTCTCTGACTTATTGGGGTGCCTTGAACCAGTCACCCAGCCTCCTTGATCTTACTTTCTCCAATCCTAAAAGGAGTGTGTCCAACCTGTTGGTATCTAAATTCTCTTCAAGGTTTTGTTTCTTGATTTCCTACAAAAGATTGTACACTTCCTTACTCTTAACTTTTAAGATTTTGGAGTAAGTTAGAATTAATTAACTTTGTGATAGCCACATAAGAGTGTGTTTATGGGCACTCTCTCTTGGGACCCTTCCCAGGTTTGGGAGTTCTACTCTATGCTAATTTTCTATCTCAATAAACTCTCCTGCTTTTTTTAAAGAGGTTTTTTTACATGTTTATTAGTGTTGTAAATGTAAATCTTATTATGCAGTCATGTATAGATAAATTATTTCATACTATGTCTTAATCTTTGTGAAATCCATGAATAAAATAGCTCTTAAGTGTTTTTGGCAGTTATTCCTGGGACTTACGGGATCGGTATACTCAAGACAAGTCAGTGGTCAATAAGATGCAACAGAAGTATTGGGAAACAAAGCAGGCCTTTATTAAAGCCACAGGGAAGAAGGAAGATGAACATGTTGTTGCTTCCGATGCAGATCTGGATGCCAAGCTAGAGGTGAGCTCTTTACAGCTCTCAGGCCTACCATGGCTTGCTGGAGTCAAGGTCTTAGAGTGAATTCACCTGGGTAGGTCTAAATGTGCTTTATATTAGAAAGGAGGAACACCTTGAATCAAATTAATTTAATCTCAGCATATTTTTTAAAACTGACAAGTTCTCATGTAATCACCAGCATGTCTCAGTTAAATCATTCTTTAAACATTTAATTGGAATGCCTGACATGTATAAATTACCAATAGATGTTTGTTAAAAACAATACAAGGAAAGATCTGCTGCTAGTGATATCTGAGGAATCAGAATTGGAGACTAGGGTCGGACAGATGTCTATATTTAAAAGCAAATAAAAAAGGACTCTGGTAAAATAACATGGAAAATAGAGTCTAATAACTTTGTTACTGAACACTGGAAGATTCTAGAGTGAATAAGCTAAACAGATATTTAGGCAGACTAGTAGTAATATAGCAAAATGAATTCAAATCTGGTTGAACTAGAGTATTAGTACAACTGATCCATTGTCTTGCTGAACATTTCTGCTAGTAGTTTAGATTAAAATTTTCAAAGCATGCTTATCACTTCTATGAATGACTAGGCACTGAGATGAATAATATGTTACCTGACCTGATAAGGATTCAACAGGATTTCTAAATTTAATATGCCAGCTAAAGTTAATGAGCTTAACATTTAATGGGACTGAAATAAAAGCTTAAGGTTTCAAAAAAGATTCCCAGAAATGTGGCTGGAATGGTGGAAACCATGGTTATCCTGGAAGAAGTTTAAGAGGCGGCATACTAGTGCCAATTACATAGGAAGGTCTGTCATGAGGGTAGTCTTAGAGAAGTAGGCTACCAGACCCAAGCAGAACTTCCAAATATCTAGACTGCCCAATGAGAGATGGGTTCACTTTGAGTCTGTAAATGCCCTATCCATTGGATCTGGGCCACCCTTAACATCTGTTAGCCATTGTAACTTTGTAAGTACTACCCAATTTCTCTTATCCTCATTTTCTTAGTACATGAAATGGAGATAAGCATACTATCAGGGTTAAATTAGGTAACAACTTGAGTGATGGCTAATGTTTAGTGAGTGTTTATTATGTCCCAGGTACCATTCAGACTTCTTTCTGTACATTATCTCTGATGCCTAGCAAACCTCCTGACACACTTGGCCTTTGCCTTTCTGTCCTAGATTTTCTTTCCCACAATTCTTACACTGCCTTTACCACCTTCCAACCATGTGGCTATTTCTCAATTCTGAGGTCACAAACAGGCAAGTTGACACCTATCAAAGCATTTTCTGTGGTCTGCCAGGACACACTTTCCCCAGTTCTTCCCTGACTGGCTCCTTTGCATAATTCAGGTCTTCGTCCAAAGGTCACTTTGGAAAGCTTTTCCTCAACATGCTGTTTAAAGTCACTATCAACCCCTGTTCCCCACCCATACCACCCTGTTCATTGTCTAACATATGACCTTGTTTTATTTTGGTCAGAGTACTCATATCTCATGGAATTACCTCGGGTGTTGGTTTATTTGCCTGTCTTCCTTCCACTAAGGCGTCAAATTCCATGTCAGCATTAATCAATACTATGATCCCAGACAGTCACACACTACATATTCAGCAGGTATTAACTGAATGATTTCACAATACAATTAATATTAGCTCTCATCCTTTTCTTCTTTCTGTCACTGGAAATTTTGAACTAGAAGCTGAAAAGGATGTTTTAAAGGAAATTCCTACAATAGAAAAAAGTAGGCATAGGAAATATCTATTCTAATTTTTGTCTCTAAATATAATTAAAATCATCATGAGTTATATATACTTTCCATATCTCATAGCTTTTTTTCTTTTTAACAATATAGTAAATATAAGCATTATTCAAAGTTATTTAAGGGGATCATGGTGGAATACACTTATAATGCCAGCACTTGGAAGTTTGAGGCTGGAGAATTGTGAGTTCAAGGCCAGCCTGGGCTGTATAGTGAGACCTTGTCTCAAAAAAGAAAAGTAATTTAATATATTAATTATTGCTATCATAAACACTATATTTATATGTGGGCTCACAGTAGCTCTTTTACTTTAATTCAACTATACCTTAAGTAGCAGCTGTCTCAGACACATGATATCCAAAGTACTTAGCTATGATTAACAAATTTACCCATGATAGAGGTTTGTATGGCAAAAATGTCACTACTGATATCAATATTTATAGAGAGAATGAATTCTATCAATAAAACTTGAAAATGATATATAAACCATTATGACATGTTCTTACTCTGAATTACCTGTAGACGACTGGCTGATAAACCAAGAACTTTTATTCTGCTGGCCCAGAAAGCATGTGCAGCAAGCACATTCTATTGCAATACAGCAGGATGTTAATATAAAAATGTGCTCAGTTTCAATATTTGTCTACATTGCTTGTTAATAAGATCTTTTTTTTTCAAAAATAGCTTCTTAATACAAAGGCAGAAAGTATAATGACAGAAGTTCTTAATAGCTGCCATGCCAGATCAGGATATACTGGAAATGTTTCTTATCTCGCTTTGGGTGTGGTTACATGAGTGTATATAGTCATCAAAGCTCACAGAACTGAATACTCCAGAGCTGTGCATTTTATTACACATGCTATATCTTGGTTTTTAAAAAACTGAACAGTAACAACAGAACAGCTCCTTATCCCTGAATTCAGGAGTTATAGCCAGAACCTTTTCCCTCCTATTCTGGTGGTTTGTGAGTCAGAATACTGATATCAAGCATTTGCTAAGCAACAGATTCAGACTGCTGAGTTCTGTTTTGTTTTATGATGAAGGATATTTTTTTCTTTTCTAAATGGGTGGAGGATGCAATTTAATAAATTAGTAAATTTATATTCTTCATGACCAAGTTTTATTATATTAAGCATTCCTAGGAATGGTTTTCAATCTTTTAAATATATATGCATGCATCCACTTTTATTAGATCATTTGGTCATATTTATAATGAAGCAGATCATCTGTTTTCACTCAAATATTGCTGTGCTTTATGACACCAGGACATAACTTCTGTATCAACATGGCCAGGATACTAGGGAGAATAGAAGAGAAGCAACCTTGTTTTTCCTCACTGAGTGACTCCACAGAGATGAAATGTTTGGCTACCAGGTTTTCTCATTGCTATCAGCCTTGGCCTCTGAGCTCATAGACAGAGAGTAGAGAAAGTCAGCTTTCTGTCACTGTGACAAACATCTGAGATAGATCAAGGTCAAAGGAAGAAGAGGGCTATTTTGGCTCATGGTTTTAGAGGTTTTAATCTATGGTTGTGTGGCCTTGTCATTTTTGAGCCTCTAGGAGGGCAGTACATCATGGAGGAAGTGAATGACAGGAAACCTATTCACCTCAAGGCAGCTGGGAAGCAAAGAGAGATGGGGAGGGGAGTTGATGTCCAAGTATCCATTCACAGGCACACCCCCAATAACCTAACTTCCTTTTACAATGCTCCATCACTCCCCATTTGCACCACGGGCTGACAACCAAGCCTTTATCATAAGCACCTTTGAGGGATATTTAATTTCTGATCTATAACATCTGTTCTAGCTTTTCTTGAGCTATCTTAGTTTCTGAAGCAAAAAAGCAAGACCACCTTGAATTAAAATCTAGATATATTCTTCTTAATGCAGTCCTACCTGCCTTGTCCTTGGTTTTCTCTAATATAGTATGGCAATAAGTTGTCTTACTGTATATTTTATGAAATCTTTGGGAAAATCAGTAGTGATGTTTACTCCTCACTAAACACCATTTTACCAGATGTCTTCGAAACAGACAGATCTTTCAACCAAGGTTTGTTCGCTTTGTTCAATTGAGTAAACATGTCATAAAATATATTAGGATCATAAAATGAATTAATGTCACCTTTTAAATATGATACTTACTTGGAAGATCCTCTCTTCAAAAAAAAAGACAAGTGGTGAAGGGAATAAATTAGGTTTTGAAAGAATATTGGGTCTCTGGTTTACCAATTCCTCTAATTGGGCCCCTTACTTAGGTTTTCTGTTTTTCATCTATTATTCCACTAGACTAGAGGAAATAATCATTCTGAAGATCTTAGTTTAGATCACAGAGATCGTGAATTCCATTAAGTATAGATGACATTTATAGTCATACACCATACTGTAGAGTCTCTCTCTGTATAATATACCATATAATACCAAAAATACTTAAACATATCATCTTGTTTTTAGTGAGAAAATCAAACACTACAGTTTTGTTCAGTGTATTTTTTATTTCATTGCTATCTTTTTTACTTATCATTTTATTTGTATTTTTTTACAGCTATTTCACTCAATTCAGAGAACTTGTTTGGACTTGTCTAAAGCAATTGTGCTCTATCAAAAGAGGATATGTTGTAAGTATGCTATAAGTATGATTATTGATCAAGTATAGTGAGAAAGAATAGGATATTTTGCCTTAATATATTATTTAATGTTTAGGACACTATTTAGGGGTTTTCATCTGTGTCTTTAATCCACGAGGAAGGTCTCTAATAATTTTGTCAATAATTTACATAGGCTGTTTACCTTTCAAAATAAATATCATATTAGGAGATTTTTAATTGGGTCTTCCACAAATATAGACAAGATATTTGTTTTCCAAATTATAAAAAAGTTTTCTCAGCTTTACATCTTGGGATTTTTAATTTGGGATTATTTTTATTTGATTACTGTGGTTCTCATATCTAATTTTGTTCCTGTTAAAATAACCATTTTAACAGGATTCATTAATGATCAATGTTGATTCATTAATGATATTTCATTGACTGAACTTTCTCATGAACATTTCTTATGTTACAAATTGAAAATAAGATTTTTTCATATGGTCACCCTGTCTTAAAACTATTCCCAACAAAATTGTCTCTGAAATACTAAATCATAAATTATATGTTACTGTTTTTAAATTTTAATTTGTAGGTCATTCTAATAATGTAATTACTATATTTCTCAGGCTAGAATAGGGGAACTCTTTCTGATGCTGACTGCTGCCAAATCCCTCTCCAATAATCACAAGTTAACAATTGGTCATTTTTCTATATTAGCAATATTTTTAAGACAACTGTTTTTGGGGGTGCATTTGATTGTTATATGTATATTTGGAAATGTCACAATGAAACACCCCTTTACAACTAACATATGCAGATAAAAAAAATAACTAGTTTGGGAAAGCTCCCAATAATTGAGGCAGAGTTTTATAAATTGTCTGTCTTAATATTTTTAAGTGCATGAGCTAAGGTTCTCCAGGGCTCCAATTTCAGGAGCTCTGAGAGAATCGAGACAGTGACATCCCCCCACAACCATTTTACTGTCCCATATTCTAGTCCTCAAATGCTGGTCTGATTTGGTTCCTAAATAGCTTTCAGCTTCTCCTTCCTCACTCCATCTTCTCTGCTACTACCCTAGTACAGGTTCCATAGTCACTTTCAATTGGTTTGTTAAATCCGTTTCTTAACTGATTAACTTGTCTCCATTTCACTCTCGTCCAGCCCTTTGAACACTGCCATCAGAGTTCACTTTTAAGCCTGATCAGATGATTCCTGTGTTTAAACCCTATGTTTTGGGAATTAGTGGTTAAATTCCCTTTTACTATACCCACCATGTTCCTTATCCTCACCATGAAATGAATTATTTTCTCCTTTGTAGTAAAAAACAAAAGATATTTATAAAATTATTCCAGTAATTTTTAAGTAAGTCACATAAACTTCACTGTGCCCCCTTTCATTTACATATAGATGCTTGCATATTTTCTGTAGTGATTCTGGTAATAAAACCCAGCTTACCGGCTATTTTAATGTTTCTAATAGAAAACAGAGAGACTTACCCCCGGAACTCCTCTTATTAGTTAGAATTATGATAAACACTATCAAGGCTTGTGATTACCTTGTAATGTATGGGGTTACAATAATGCCCCCACCATGAAACAGTCATCTGGTTGTGCCCACAGGAGTTGGCTGTCAGCTGTAGGTAAGCCTTTTTGTGTCACCCACTGTGCCCACGTGAGCTATGCCATGGCAGTGGGGATGGGAAGGAAAAGTTCTGTGCTGCTAGACTGAAAGTGATGCCAACTTTGATGAAGGACTAAAAATAGTGTAGCTAATGTGAGAGCATTTCTATGTAGCTGTCAGAGAAAAGAAATGAGTAAAATCACTATGAACTGATATGGAGTGATTTTTAGGATATGACCTTAAGAAAAAATTAGGCTCAATCTTAAGCACAAATGTATATTTACAATGTGCTGCCCTTCATGTAAGAAACAGGGGAATATAGCAAAATATAAATGTAAAAATTAAGGGGACACACACATAAACACAAATGTACAAATAGTCTGCTCATTGTGCTAAAGAAACTCAAGAAAGATAAACCAGAAACTAGAGAGTGGAGACCAGTGTGCTGGGGATGGGATGGGTGTGAAAGTTACCTTCATTGGAACAAGGTGTATGTATTGAAGATAGCTTTAATATCTTTGACTCTTAAAAACCATAGTAATGTTTCACATATTCAGAAAATACTTAAACCAGGTCATGGGAGAATCTAAAATGGAATACAAACAGAAACAAATGAACTGAATTGCATTACAAATGAGTAACAGCACCACACTGACTGGAATGGGGAAGAAAAGAACTAACCTTGTTTTTTAGAAAACTGTATTTTTGACAAGACAATTAGGCTAAACACAAAAATAACTATAGTAGTTGCTATATTTATATCTTACGAGGATATGGGTTAGCAATTCTAATACATATATGTAGAATTTTGTTAACAAATAAGTTAACATATTATAGATAATTAGAGCCTTAATTCTCTCTGCCTAGAAGTTATAAATAAAGGGAGATAGCTAGAATGAACAGTGTGGTGTTGCAGTGGAATCAGATGTGTCATCTGAAAGTCATTGTTATTAATATATGTAGAGGTAGATATACACAGAATGAAGATGAGCATGTATGTGTGGGCTATGTGCATTTGTGTATTTCCTGCCACTGTTAGTTGAGAATGCCTAGGAACACTAACATTCCATAACCAGGGGCACACCAACAGCTCAAATCTTGGTTTCTTTTTCTTTTTTTTTTTTTAACTGTTGTACTAGGCGTACATTGTGACATTTGCAAAAGTTTTTACAGTAAATCATAATTGAATACACCACCTCAATCACCTCCACTCCTTGGAGAAGTAATTTATTTCAGGGTTGAAACAGGGAAAATTCAATATGAGCCTAGAATATCTTACAGAGTATAAAGAAGTACTTGTAAAAGGATAGGCTAGGCAGAAATGACACAGGAGAAGCAATCCTATAATCAAAGCTGGTATAATTTGAACAGCAAAATAAATAATGGCATTATTAAATTGTAAGCCATAGGGGGAAAAAAAACACTACTGATTAAGTCCATAGGAGATTGATGAATGGGTGAATAAAATAAAATAATTCATTAATAAATATAGAAAGAATGAGTTAATTACATAATCATCATGAGGAAAAACACCCCAGTAAGAATTGTAGCAGGTGAGATTCACTAAAGAGTGTTACAATTATTGAGTAAAAGTTTGAGGAGAAACTGAATATTCAGGAAGTCTCGTGTTTTTCTTTGAAGATTTTAAAATAATTATGAAAAGGAAAAATCTGTAATTTTACAGTAGAGAAACCCCAAATGTACCGTCTTAATCAAGTGATAGAAATTAACATCCCCACTGATAATGTGTGTTGATATTAATAATCTCTGATATCATGTACTAACAGGTCACTTCACCTTTGTGGTATCCTCCCCTCACATACATAACTCCAGTCTAGTCATGAGGAATCAGACAAACCCAAATTGAGGGGTATTCTCAATTTGTGGTCAGAATATCTACCAGTACTCTTGAAAGGTACAAAGTCATGAAAGACAGAGAAACTGAAGAAGTGTCACAGATTGAAGGGAACTAGGAACTCAGAATCTCAATGTTGTATGGCGTCTGGGCTGAATATTGGAACAGAAAAGGGACATTCATGGAAAAACTGGTAGTTGATAGTATTGTACCAATATCAATTTCCTGGTTTTGATCATTGTGCCATGGCTATATAAGATGTAAAGACAAGGAGAATCTGTGGAAGGGTATACAAGAATTCTGTATACTGTCATACTGTTTGTAATTCTCTTTAAGTCTAAGATTATTTTAAAATAAGAAATTTAATGAATATAGATTGACTAATATTGCTGTCTTTCTTTTAAAAACTTCTAAGAGCATTAAAGTGGAATCTATACTCCTATATCATGGCATATAAATAAGTCTAGTTCCAGCTCACCTCTCTAGTCCCCTTTCTTTGCCTACCAACCTATCTGAGGAGATCTTGCACTGTCTGTTTCTTGCCTGCAGTTTTCCTTCCTAATAGTATCAAGAGTATCCCTCTCCTTGTCATTCTGAACTCAGCCTAATGGTCAGCTGCTCCAAGAGCCTTCCTGAGCACCCACCCAGCCTAAGGCAGAGACAAATCACTATCTCACTCCCCATCTCTCATTGTTCTAACTGGGATAATTATTTTTGTATTGTGTTTCCAACTGTATACGTTTTCTTTTCTATCACCTGTCACTTAAATGTAAACTCTGTAAAAGCAGAGAACCCATGTGTCCCTTTCTCCCTGTTTTCTCAGTGGCAGAAGAATGTCTAGTACATAGTGGGTTAGCCATGTATCTGGGAGCTAATTGGGTTCACAGTTCTTCAGTTGCTTTTTTTTTTTACATTCATTTATTCACATGTGCATACATCGTTTGGGCCATTTCTCCCTGTACCCCCAACCCCCACACTCTCCCCCCTACCCCCCTCACACCCAGGCAGAACCTGTTCTGTCCTTATCTCTAATTTTGTTGAAGAGAAAACATAAGCAATAATAAGAATGACAAAGAGTTTTTGCTAGTTGAGATAAGGATAGCTTTACAGAGAGATTCCTAGCATTGCTTCCATGTACAAATGTGTTACAACCCAAGTTGATTCATCTCTAACTGATCTTTACACTGGTTCCTGATCCCCTTCTCATATTGACCTCTGTCGCTTTAGGGTTTCTGAATTAGTTCCTCTGCAGTGGGGACATCAAACACTTTCATGTTTTGGGTTTCTAAACTATCCCCATACTTCCTGTATGTGCTCTCCCCTTGTCATGTGACCCAAGTCCAACACATTGCTGCATTTGCCCTAGATTTAAACTCCGCATATGAGGGAGAACATACAATTTTTGGTCTTCTGAGCCTGGCTAACCTCACTCACAATGATGTTCTCCAGTTCCATGCATTTACTTGCAAATGATAAGATTTCATTCTTCTTCATGGCTGAGTAGAATTCCATTGTGAGTAAATACCACATTTTCTTAATCCATTCATCAGTAGTGGGACATCTTGGCTGTTTCCATAAATTGGCTATTGTGAATAGTGCTGCAATAAACATGGGTGTGCAGATGCCTCTGGAGTAACCTGTGTCACATTCCTTTGGGTATATCACAAGGAGTGGTATTGCTGGATCATATGGCAGATCTATGTTTAGATTTTTAAGAAGCCTCCATATTGTTTTCCAGAGTGGTTGCACTAGCTTGCATTCCCACCAGCAGTGTATGAGGGTTCCTTTTTCCCCACATCCTTGCCAACACCTGTTCGGTTGCTTTTTAAAGAGCACATCTGAAAATCTAATCAGCAATTAAATGTTAATAGGTTTTTATATGAAGTTTTTAGCTCCAGTTAATTGAAACCTTTGTATAAGTAGAAACTTTAAAGGTATCTGATGCATATGTTGTACCTGAATTTTAAAATTCCACTAATTAATTTCAGTATTTGAATTTTTTACATTAAAGAATGATCATCTCTTTGAAAAATCCAACCTTGAGCCTGATGGAGCTCAGACTTTTTCCCAGCTCTCTCTTAGAAGCATTGCCAATTAAACTGAGTCAGCAGTTAAAATGAAATCTATTTGCCACCCAAGTTAATCCTCAAATGCATAAAATGACCAAAAATTATTTTTAAATGCTTCAACCTGCTTCGATTTATTTAGGAGAAATTATATTTCACCAACTGTGTGATCATTCAGGTACCATGAATTGGTTTCTTTCTGGCCATAAGCTGAATGTGTTCATTTTTATTTGACCTGAGGCTTTAAGGTTAAGAGGGTCATCGTATCCTCATGCTATTTGAAACAAAAATAGGAATGTGCTCTCTGTAGGGGAAGATTCATTGTAGATTGAATGAGTCATATGTTAGTCAGTTGAGAGAAAAAATTAAAGCTATTAGAAAACAAAAAATAACATAATTTTAGAAATTTTAAGCTACATAGAACCATAGCATAAATATCAACTAAGCATTTAAAGTAAAATAGTTTGTAGAGATAGCAAAACAAAAATTATAGTTAATTCAGTATCACAAGCATTTAGTTAGTGCTATGATGTAAGACTATGCTCGGCCTAAGGAATATAAAGTGTAGATGAGGTCCCTGTTCTGGAAAGCTGTGTTTCACGGTAAAGACAGACACATGTCCACTCATGCATATTCTGACACTGTTCCTACCATAGTAAGTGCTAACATAGGTGCCCAGAGGACACTGCTATCTAGAGAAATAGGGATCAACTGTTTGACAAGAGGAAGGAGCCTTGAGCTGGGCTTTCATCTGTGAACTTAATTTTTGAGAGAGAAATATAGGGGAGATATTATTTATCTCTCAGGAAAAATGGATTTTCAAAGCTTCTTCTCTGTGGGTCTCTCAAGGGACAGTTTAGGGTGAACTGCAGTCACAAATTAATAAGGAAGCCATGATAAGTTTAGCTGTCACATTTGGATTCTAGCTCCTGGCCAACCTTTTATAGCTGTTGTTGAAAGGTTGTGTTAGGAATGGGGTATATTCTGAAAGATGTCTGGATGGTTCATGAAAACAGACAAGAATCCTGGTACCTAGTAGCATGTAGAAAGTAGTTCGGAATATAATGCATATATTCATGGAAATGAAATAATGAAACTCCTTGTGTAGCTATCTTAAACAAACAGAACTATCTTTTTCAAAAACGAAGGTCAGGAAGCTAAAACGGGTCTTTTCTGAGGGCTGGTACCAGTGGGAAGGGGGAGGATATAAGGAAAGGGTGAAGGAAGGTGAATGTGTACTCAGGTATGAAAATGGAAAATGAGACCTGTTAAGACTATTCGAAGGGGGCAGTGATAAAGGAGGATGATAGAGGGATGAATTTAACTAAGATATATTGTAAGCACTCTTGTAAATCTCACAATGTACCCCCAGTACAAGAATAATATGATAATAAGAAAATTTAAAAAAAGGAAAGTAACCAGAGGTTGTGGTACACACTTGTAATCCCAGCACTCAGGAAGCAGAGGGAGTAGGATCTCCAGTTCAAAGCCAGCCTGGGCTTCATAGTTAAGATCTTTTCTCAAAGAACTAAGGACTTGAAATGTAGCTCGTGGTAGGTCACTTGCCTAGCATGTACAAGCCCTGTGTTTAATCCTCAACACCACAAAATAAATACAGTAGTCCTTTAATATCCATGAGTGTGTAGTTTTAAGGAGACCATCAGTGAGGAAAAACCCACACATGCTAAGGAAGCAGTGTGGTACTGTACTGCATATGTTTGATTCATCTTTCCCATACTGCTGCCCAACTTCCACTAAAGACATGCCACTTTTCAACAAATCTTAAATTGTCACTTGATCCCCTAAATTAATCACATTAACTTTTACCTTGCTTTTTGGGCACCATACGCTTTTTGGGAGGCATACTGTATTTTCACACTAACAATAATGCAGGACTGACTGAGAGCTTCACCACATCAACTGGGCTGTGTATGCATGCACAAGAATTAAAATTATTTTCTTTTTGAATTTTTTTTTATTTTTTAACATTTTTGACCATGCTTAGTCAAAATTGCATGTAATCCGTAAATAAGGCGAACCTTCTGTAAATACCTGAATACAGAAGTGTAAATAAGGGTTTTATTCAGAGTATGTTGACAGTAAATGCTATCTGTAAGAAAAAAAAAAATCTTCTAAAGTTCACACTGTTAGTCCTGTACCTGTGGCTCCACTGTTGGTGTTTATTTGAGACTCCTAATATTTCATTTTGTGGGTGCTTTTTATTTTATTAAGTCCATCATTAGAATGGGGAGAGTGTTTTACTATGATAAATAATTATGCTGATTCTTTTATTACTTCCTTGGGATGTATTCTTAACAATAGAAGTGCAATAGGTACAGTTTTATAACTTTTTTATATTTAGTGCCAAACTGATTTCTAGAAAGCTTATACAAAATCACTCTTATCAAATAGTTACATCTGCACTTGTCTTTAAAAATAAGGCCAAGATTAGGCAGAGCTAATTCAGATTTGGTTCCAGCTCTGTATTTGAAAAATCCTCCAAGTAGTCAGCCTGGTGACCTACCCACCCTCAATCCTCACCCCCCCACCTCCAGTCAAAAACTATGTCTGAGGTGAGGTATTTGAGTTGCTTTACAGTTTTGCAGATTGTAACTCAAAAAGCAGAGATCAAAAAGCCAGCTATAGAGAATAATAGGATGCAGCTAGCATCACATTCTAGGCAGCCACAAAAGATTCCCACCATCAGACTTGACAAAACCAACTCTTTTATTACAGCTCAGAACAGCACATTATGGGCTGGCTTTTCAGTCCGGAGGTCATTTTCTGGTTCTGATTACAGGGCACCAAACTCACTGACAGATGTATTCAAGTGAATTTGATCTCTGGTATTGTAAATGGAAGAACAGCATGGAAGTTAAATGGCAAGGTGGGGGAGGAGGAGAATTTACCTTGCATCCTGCCACTTGGATTTAATTTCATCTCCTCTTCTCCTCTAAATAGAGAGGACCTTGTGATTTGTCTCTCTCATTTTCTTTGCAATAAAAATGCCCATTGTTCATGACTCCTTTCCTTCTTTTCTTAATCAGTCTTGTCTCAAGAAGAAAATGAACTGGGAAAATTTCTCCGATCCCAAGGCTTCCAAGATAAAACCAGAGCAGGAAAAATGATGCAAGCCACAGGAAAGGCCCTCTGCTTTTCTTCCCAGCAAAGGTGTGTGGCCTTCACTGGGGCTGTTTGAGGGGATCTGCAGAGAATCTGGGACCCATCTACTCATAAAGAGGAATTTTACAATCTTTGGAAGGCTTTGGCCTGGGACTTAGGACCTACTGTGTGCTCCACTGTTAGTTGATTTCTATTTAACTCTCTGATTAAGAAAACTTGTTGGATTTTTTTCCTCCTTGTTAATTTTTAATATTTTTCTTATTTCTTCTGAACTATAGGGGACATTATATATGCCAATCATTATAAGTGCTATTGTAGGCTCATATGTAACCTTCAGGTTGCTCATAACAGTCAGTCTGGTTCCCTTCCAGTAGCTGATTAAAGCAAGAGCCTAATGAGACCAGCTTGAAGGGTTCCATGGCTGCTCTCAGTGGGCCAATTAACTGTAGAGAGGTGTCATTCAGGATGCCTTGGACCTCATTGTCCAGACCCTGGGACAGCAGCACCAGCAGGATGTCCTAGGAGACTGTTAGAAATGCAGAGTCTACACCCCACCCCCAGACCTGCTGTTTCCAAATCTGCATTTTCACAAAATCCTTGCTCATTTTGATGTACACTCAAGTTTGAGACAGTGTTAAGGCAGAGAAAATTGTGGCAGAGCAGTGGCATTTTAAAACATAACCTGGACTTGTTTTTATGGTCAATGTTAAACAAGCAGGAGTCCCTGAGCACAAGTTGTTCTTTGCGCTTGAGAAAAAAAGACACCCTTTCTCTCTTCCTCCTCTCCCAGTAAGTAACAAATTGAAAAAATGTCTCCTACTAATAATAGGTAGAATTATACCTCAATAAAGTTTGTAGACAGTTTCCAAGAACACTTAAGCTACAGAAATGTCACTTGCTCAAGTTGTCCAACATTTTCTTCTATTCATTTCCCTTTCTCCTTTTCCTCCCTGTAGACCAAGAGCCAGCCATAGGCATGTTACAGGGTGTCCCTATAAAAATCCAAGAAAGATAGAGGAGAAAAGAGAGACCTGCTGTGCCAATTTTTCACTACTTCCATTCCTGGACATTTTGTTTTTCCTAGTGACATTGGAACCTTGACTTTGTGGGCTGCACCAACTGTCATAGTTAAATGAAATCATTTCCAACAGTTCTCTACCCCAGTTTTCCAAGAAAGGTATTTGTTTATAATCTTGAATTGCACTTTTTGTATTTATTTATAATAGATTTTTCCTTGTAAAAACCTATATATATATATACTCATTTTTTAATTAAAAACAGCCAAACTAGAAGAAAATTTGAAAACAACTTAAGCCTTATTAAAGGAATAACCTAGATTTAATACTTTGATATTTCTGTGTCTATATGGCCTTTTCCAATCTAGCAAGGATAATTGATTCTGAGAAAATCTTTCAGAGAATAAATTCTCATATGTTAAACATGCAATTATCACTAATTTCAGTGAACTTTTATATATACCTGTCTATTAAAATTAATGTCTATTATGGGAAAAACAAAACCAAATTCCAGGATACTACAAGGGTTACTGTTAATAATCACATTAACTATTCTATGATATGACCATCCCATTATACCTTTTCATAATCTGTACCAAATGATCTCACAAAGCACAAACATGGTACCTCAAACCACGCAGGGTGGTGCCTTCCTGTAATCTTAGCACTGAGAAGGTAATGGCAGGAGGATTATGAGGTTAAGGCCAGCGTGAGCTACAATAGCTAGATCCTGTCTCAAATAGAAAAAAAAAAAAAGGATAAAGGAAATCAACAAGACAAACCAAATGATGCTTGCAAGTATCAACACTAGATTAGCAAACTGCTCTCTTCCTATAACTTAACTGAGGTGTGGCCAGCTCTGTGATTTAGGAGGTGGCCTCCTGCACAATGGCTGTGTTTTCATGACCCTCATCTACTTGCCAGCCACATGAAATCCCAGCCAGTTCTCCTAAATACGAAGAGAGCAGGAAGATTACATGAAAACCCTGAATTTGAATTCTCAGTCCTGAATGATCATAATTTAGGGTATGCCAGAATATATTTTTAAAATAAATGACATCATACCATATAGCCTTTATATTCTGATGACTTTTTAGCAAATTGATTTTTTTCCATTATATAACACTACCATCTTTTAAAAAAATTTTCAATGTATCCATCTTTAAAAATTTCTATTGCATTATCTGGGCATGTCATGATACATTTAACCTTTCTTGGGTCCTTGCACTTTTTCCTACTGAAGGATAATCACCCATAGAGTTAAGCTTCAGGTACTCTAGTGATTATCCCCATTAAGGGAATATTCATGAATGAAAATGTGGGCCAGTCTTGCACTGAAGTTTGATATTTTTGGTTACTGAGGTTTTTTCTTGGCCTAGATTTAGTCTTTCTTACCACAAGTGAATGGGTTTTCACCTTTCTAATTTTATGGAAGCAAGTTACTAGGAAAAAAAGAGGTGATTTTTATGTCCCTTTTTCTTTTCTGTCATGATGTTATTGCAACTTCAAAAGTTTCTGTCCAATTTTAAAATGGTACAAGAGATCAAGAACAGTTTATTCATGAGATTCTTTTTCAGCTGACTTCAGAAAGGTAGGCAAATCTAAGCAAAGAGAATAAGGAGCTCAAAAATGAACAGGACCCCCAGGGAGACATCTGAAGACTGTTTATCTCTTTAAATAGAGGCCTTCACACCAGCATTTGTTTAACTGACTTATTTGCTAGTTATTGCTGCAACTACTCCTCTGTTTATGAACTGTATTCAATTTAAACCAAAAGAATAAAATGTAAGTTTTATGGTACAATGCATCTTTGAGAAAACCTCCCACATCTAGGTAGGCAAGCTTTTTTATTAGAAGTGCTCAATATTTAAAACAATGCAGATAAGAGGGAAAATAGCAAAAGAGATTTTTTTTTCTTAAACAGTTCTTGCATCATTTATAATCTTAGACTGTTACACACATGTAAGTCACTGCTACCAAAAGCTGACTTGGGTTTACTGAACCATTGTTCCCTTCAGCTAAGTATGTTTGCATTTAAATTGAAGTTTGAATATTCATCTTATTTTCATTTTTTGCACCTGTTCCTGAAACTTCATGGAAAAGAATATATTTTAAAAGTACAATTCATATGACATTGCTTATTTTGGGTAGGAATACAGAAGAAATTTTCCACCCAAAATAAATATTTTATCTAAAGTTTGATATGTCTCACCTTTCTTCTGAATAAATGACAGTTTGTTATAACCAATTTTATAATAATTTTACAGTTGTACATTTTACATTCATTTCTGGTGTGATATCTTTAAGTTTTTAAAATGAGGATTAAATCATACAGCCTATCTGAAGGTGCTAACACACATTAGGCCCTCAGTCAATGTGAGTATCTCCGTTCTTAAACCACTTAAAAATTCTTCAGTTCATGCATCAGTCCCTTGTGATTACTGAGCAAGCAACAGATGTCATGGCCTTTGAAATAAACATAAAAATGGCCATGTCAGAAGACCATAATCATGTACGCTCCCATTCCTTCAAAGGGCCAAGCTTCAAGGGAGCAGCAGAAGGAGAGTGACCAAGAGTGGAAATGGTGATAGTCAGGCCTTGACTGTCCTTCATTGACCCAAGACTGGTTCGGCTTCACACAAACACCACCAGTGTCACCCCCAGCAACACTAGTGGAGGGCACTTACCAGTATCCGGTTTGGGTAATAATAAGTCAAGAGATTGGAACACAGGCAGTAATCTGGCTGACACATGAGTTCCCACACATTTTAATTATTATTCATCAAATTTTGATGGAGTATCTTCTGTGTTCAAGCCACAAATGTCAAGGATTCAAACTGACTTAATTTCAACATTGTTGTTTTGACCTCTTGTCCAGGTTGGCCTTGCGAAATCCTTTGTGCCGATTTCACCAGGAAGTGGAGACTTTTCGGCATCGGGCCATCTCAGATACTTGGCTGACAGTGAACCGCATGGAGCAGTGCCGGACAGAATACAGAGGGGCATTACTCTGGATGAAAGATGTGTCTCAGGAGCTGGATCCAGACCTCTACAAGCAAATGGAGAAGTTCAGGAAGGTAGGAGGTTTTATGAGGGTTACCGAAAGGGGGTACCTGCTGGAAGGTAATGAGGTGTGATTTGAATCCCTTTGGTGAAGAAGACAACTCAAAAGCACCAAGGATGCAATTAATCATCACTGATGTCTTTTTGTGTGACAGAATACCAATTAATGTGATATATAATTCTCTAAGGATATGATAGAAGAGACGGCTGGAAATTGCTGGATTTAGTAACTGGTTTTAATTGAAGTCAGATTTTCATATAATATGCATTTTTTTGTTAAGTTGTCACTTTTAAATGACTTTTCATGTATAACTGAAAATCAAGAATAGATCAAATGAGTCTGGAAGGTGAGAACAGACTATGGGGAAGTCTTTTTTAATTGCTAATGCATATTAAACCTAGTAAAGTAATAATACTCCTTTGTTTGTAATACCTTCAGAAGACTATGGAATTTAGTTGTAGGATTAGCTAGAACAGCATCTTATCTGCTGTTGACGTCTGCAGAAATTTTCCTGAAGAATATAAGTAGTCAAAGAAGTGAATTTCCTCTTAAATTTCCCTGAAATAACTAGTGAGCAGTAGAAGAATAATCTTTAGTTCATTTTTTAATTATCGTGTGTCAATGTTCCCACCACTAGGTGGCAGTCGTACCCTGAGTAGTTATGAAAATGAAAATGGAGAGATTTTTGTTGTGTACAGGCTTCATAGTTCTTTGTTTGGTTGACTGGATATGTTTCAGGGTGTAAAAGAAAAAAATCAGCAAATGTTAGGCTTGACATAATATTGTGTCAACTGTCTTACTCATTTCGGCTGATTCATTTGTAATTAGAGATATTACTCAAAATTCCTAGGTTTCTTTTTTAAGTACATCATTGTGGAACTTAAAAAGGAAACGGAAAACCTTTCTGGTTGTGGGAGGTTAGATGTGTGGGGGTGAAGGTAAGGAGTAACCTTTTGTTGCTTCACAGAATGGTCAATCTCCAATTCTTGACCTAGATATTAGATTGACACAAATTCTTCCAAATGTCAGATTTTCTCTTGGTTTGTGACTTAACATCCCTCCCTATGAAGAGACTCAGCATCCATTTTCTTTCTTATCATAGATGTCTTTCATGTGTTTGCAACATCTGCCTTCCCAGTAAGGTAGGCTTCTAAGCTCATAGAAAGTCAGGACAGAAAAGTCTCTTAGACATGATGCAGTAAAACTCACTGACCTTAGAAAATCAAGACTTCAGGACAGTAAATAAAATTTTGCAAGGTTTGGTAGCTAGATACTGGTGAGTGTAGGCTACGTTTGAAGTTTTCTTTCTAATCATGCCAGTAATTTCTTTGTCTTTAGCACTTTATTTAGAGGGTGAGGAAAGTAAAGTTGGTATAAAAAAAAACAAACAAAAATGAAAACAAAAAAGCCGTTGTCTGCAGGGTGTCCTGCTGGTCACCATTTTATTTTCTGGCTCTTAATCCTCACAGTAATAAACACACAGATTTTCTTTTATAGATGAGGAAAATGACACCACGTTAGATAACTAACTTAAGGTCAGACAAGGAAATGAAAGTCAGAGTCCTGGAAAATATGCACAGTTAATTTTTTCCCTAAGAGACAAAAAAAATAGCAAGTTGAAGAGCATTCCTAAGATCTAAGATTGGCAAAGGGATTTTCATACTAACAGCTCTTCTGAGATTTACTCATTCATTTAATGGTTATTGAGTACCTCCTAAGTGCCAGATAATAAAAGTAAACTTATGATTATTGTGGAAGACAGAAGAATTCCACGTGGAATTGTGCTTGTTTGGTTTGGTTTGGGTTTTTTTTGGGGGGGAGCAGTTGCTAGCTTGGTGAAGATGAAACAAAAACCAAGTCCTTCGTCATTTGGTTTGAATGTTGAAACATTTCCCACCATTTGGTGTCATCAATTGGTTGATTCTGGAAAATATGGTTTTAAGAAAAATCCTTTGCCATGCTGAAGTGGATGGATCTCTGCCTTACTTCTGAATCTGACGTGCACTGGATTTAATTTAATAGCTGAGCATTGTGTGCTTAGGATTTAGTGAAAGAATATTTTTTTTTAAAGAAGTCTATCTTCAAGTGTGTATTTGATTAGGCTGGACTCTCCTTGAGGACAGGGACCATGTGCAGCACCTGGCCCTGATACAGCCCTCATGTCGACGAGGTTCCTGGCACTGAGTTTGAAGGGCCAAGCTCTCTTCTGACTTCTCAGCATTCCGACCATATGCTGCTGACTTCCTGGTGTTTTAGAAATTGATATATGTGGTTATGCAGGTAAGCAGTTGCATTATTAATCTGGGGCTTGCTGCTTTCTTGGGAAGGACTTTAAATTGTGAAGGTTTTTGTTCACTTGGAGTTTTTAACATGGAATTAAACTCCAAGTGAACTTGAATGTCTTGTCCTGGTTGGATTCCATGTTAAACAGAATCTCCACTTACCTCTCAGGAATGTATTACCTAAATGTGGTTCAGGAGTCATCCGGATGAGTGACCCCGTTGGGACGGCTCTGCAGGAGCCACTGTGGGAGCAGGAGTTTGTCTCCTCAGCACAGCTCCTGCCTTTACATTTCACCTGATGAATCCTGAGCTATAAATGCTGTTGAGGTCACACATTCTAGACAGAAATTCTAATTTTACCTCATGATGGTGACAACCCCCCCCCCAATTTGGTTTCTTTAGTATGCATTCAATTGTTGCTTCATTCATTCAACAAAAGATAGAGAGGTCCAATCATATGCCAGCAGCATACAGAAGAATAAAAATGGAAAAACAGATCACTGCTATCCTGCCTCGCTGCGGTCATTTGGGTATAGAGCAAGTAAAGGAGTATGGTGAGCAGTTGTCTGAGGTGGCACATAGTGCCATATGAACATTTACAAGGGGCATCCTGGAGGAAGTAGCATTCAGACAAGAGGTAAAGGAGAAGCAGGAACGACAGCAGAGTTTCCTGCTGAGGAGGAAACTTGGACAAAGGCCAACAGGACATTTGGAACCAGAACAGAGAAGGTGAGGTAGGTGTAGAGACAGGGGTGTCCAGACCAAGGACTTGGAGAGGAAAGGAAGCAGAGCCAGAACAGAAGGGACATCTGTTCAGGAGTGAAGGGAATGGAAGAATGTTGAGAAGGGGAGGGTTGTGATCACGTTAGTGTTCTCATGTGGAGAGGGCACTAGATGGAACCAGGCATTAAAGCTGGGAGAGCTTCTAGGATGCTTTTGCATACCAACAAATCATGGTGTGACTATGTCACAAAGAGGGAAGTAGACAGAGAGAAATTCACTGTTCTGACCTCTGTAGAGTATCACTTTAATTAGAGTTCTTCATTATTTTTAGAAATAAGCAGAATAAGCATAAATAAATAAACAGCAAGTTCTAGTGTATTTTAACCTCCAAAAAGCTTTTTTCAGTGTTTTCTAAATGTCAAGAAACCTTTTTTAAATAGCACACAGTGATCAGGACTAAAATGATGAATGAAAAACTTAAAATTAAACAAAGCAAATGATCTGTTTTCTTTTTGGCACCCTTTGAAGCACATAGTCTGAGGACAGCTCTCAGCATCAGCATTAGGATTTGTAACTAAGTGTCTGTATGAGGGGCTAGAAACACAAAGAAAGAGAAGAGCTTGATCCCAGCCTTCTGAAAGGAACCCTGCAAGTCATCTGCTCCTTGTCAAAATGACCCCAAGGAATGAGATACCTGGGGAGTGTGGCCACGCGTATATTCTCTCCAAGAGCAGATAACAGAAACTGGTGGGTGAATTTACACAGGCAGAGCTAGGTGGCTGTGTGCAGTTGGAGGCACCTCCTGACAGTGTGATTCACCCTGGGACCACGAGGTATTTTACGAGCAAAGTTACAACGTGTGATATATGTGCCCTTTGAAGGCTAAGTAAAAGGGTATAATTTAAAAATAGAAGTCAGCTTCTCATAGCAGATTACATCAGCTGAAGTTGTAGCTCCAGCAGAGCCTTCACAGCCTGATACCCTGGAGAGAGGCCTCCTGTGGTCAATTAAATGTCTTGTTTTTCTTGAAAGTCAGAAATGGGATGGCCGGTAATTATTCTAAATGGAATAAAAGCTGTGTTAGGTGTAAGGAAATCGCTCTGAATCCTCTAAAGAGATAGTGTGGAAATGTATACGTGGACATTTGTAGGAGTCAGAGTCTTCTTTAGACGGTACAAGGGAACCAGTGTTTTAGTGAGAGCCATTTATTAAATGGCTTAATTAAATCCTACAGCATTTGTCTATTGTTTCATCTCATAGTTCAAAAAGATACCTTTAAAATATTATAGAAAATATGAGTGATATATTCTGGTAGCCACAGGCTTGTGTCTATTTAGAATAGTGTTAGGTTTTTGGAGACCTGTTATTCCACTAGTCATATCATCAAAGGACATGTTACTAGGAGCAGGTTTATTAGTGAATGTTGGCAGCTCACTACATAGGACCTCATTAGGGCCATCAGTTAGTGCTGTCTCCATGTCCTAATTGTAAAGGTTTGGGTCTCTAGAGCTTGGTCAAAGACTAGTAAATAGCAGTATTGATACTGGAGGGTCTTTTTTTTTTTATTATTGTGAACAAAGACCTATTAGGTTAATTAATTTGACAGTTTCATTAATTACTGCTTAAATCATTGGTCTTTGTCAGAGGTCAGGCTCTTTTAGCAATTGAGGGCAGGTCCCATGGGTGTTGAAGACACCCGACTCCAAGTGATGCAGGAGTCTCACTGCTCAGCTGTCTCCCTGCACTGTGATAAAGGCCTTGCCTTTATGCCTGGCCCATCATCTCTGACGGAAACCAGTTTCTGTTTCTGTTCAGTGCTCAGATAAGTCTGGGTCCACAAAACATGTTGACTGGAGAGCATTTCAGGTTTGGGTCCCTACCAATGTTAAGTAGCTAAGTAGTACCTTGACTCTCAGTGCTTTGCTTAATTCACATATAAAAAGAAAAGGGGTACCTGACTCCTTTGCCTCCTCTGTCTCTGCTCGTTCTCCAGTTCTGTACACTGGGTTGAGTCCTTTTATGAGGTGAAAACTCCTTTCATAAAATTAATACTCTCTTAAATGTATCTGTTTCATAACCCTCCATTTTCATTGATTGGTTCTGGTGTGCTTATTGTTTGTTTTGGTTTGGTTGTTTAACTAGGGCACTTGTTATTTGTGGTCCCC